AAAGAAATGCAATGAAATTAATAAAAAAAAGTAAAACCTAATATAATTTTCTCAATCAGTAAAACATAATATAATTTTTAACAAATATTCAAAATTACTAAACAACAGCTTTTCACATATCTAATGGGTTGAAAACTATCTTCTTCATATGTTATCAAAGTTATGCATATATGATTATAAGTCCCAATTTTTTCTTAATTATAAAAATAATTCTAAATTTGCATATAGAACCTAAAGTTCATGATAAAATTTCATTTCGCATTTTTTGCAATTGATCTTAAAAACCTTGGGGTTTTTGTTTTACGTGATGAGAGTTTTCTAACCATTTATCATGTGCATATTTTCATTGAATAGTCTAAGAAAATTTTGAATCTGAAATTTTGGGTTTAATTACATGAAAGTTTAGAAAATTTCTCAAATTTTTTTCAATCGATAAGAAACAAGTTTTTAGTTATATATTGACACAAAAATTGTTTGAAAATGTTTCCAATAGTGAAGGAATTTCGTTCTTGAATGTATTGTTAAGAAATATAGGGTTCATATTATGAAAGTTTCAATCTTTCATTAAATTGATATTGTTTCATTGATGTAAAACGAAAAATTGGTTTGAGGGTTTTAGTTCCCCTGTTATTTTTTCACCGTTTTATGTTGTTTTTAATACAAAAATCACACATTTTTGTTCCAAGAAAAACCGCGACCCATAGCTTGAAAAATCACTTTTTAAACTTCCAAAATTTCTCAAAAATGGCTCAAAAATGTTATTTTTGAGATAGATTATATTAAAATCTCGTTGGTTTGTTGTTTCTGTGTTGTTTTGTGATGAAAATCGCTCAAAAATATGCTTTTTATTTTTATTTTTGATGAAGTTCCCATGGCGGAACCCAATTTCGAGCAATCAACCTGTCAAAGGAAGAAGAAAACACCGCAATAGAAGAATCTCAAGAAATCCTAGGGGTTAGGGTGAGATTGTGAGAGAGAGATCCTATTTATATTTTTCACTAAAAAGTCTCACGAAATCCACACCAATAGAAAATCCATTAAAATCGTCGGATTTTTGAATACCATGAGATTGTGATTCCATTGTTTAAAATCCTGATTGAATACCAACGGATTTGGAAATAATCCATTAAAATCCTAATCGAATACCACGTGACTTTTTTTCAATCCATTAAAATCTTAATCGAATACCAACGGATTTTTTTGTCCGAAAACAATCCATTAAAATCCTTTGAACTCTCAATCCAATACACCCCCCTTAATATAAAGCCGGATGATTCTTGTTATCAAAAAAAAAAAAAAAAGCCGGATGATTCTCAATAGGAATCCAGATAGTTCTCAATAGAGACTGAATAATTCTTACCTAGAATTGTTAAATTATATACACCCCGGTAGCCCAGACATCTAAAATACATAGCTGAGAAGCAACTGTTATGAACTCGTATATGAGACCCATATAATATTAAGCCCAATAAAGGGCAACAAAAATAAGAATCCAATATAATCAAAGAAAAATATCAATTTAAGATATTAATCTTAATACGACAGCATCAAACATGAGTTTGGGCTACTAGGAGAGGCACAAAAGATTCATAATTCCAATACCCACAGGCAAGCCCTATAAATAAGAGGTAAAATCTACAAGTATGATTCATTCTCTCTCTTTATTATTATACTATCATTATGCACACACACACCATACCCTTGGCAAAAGCCGTTACTATTAGTGCAGAGTAATATATCTGAGAGAGAATCTAGATCCAAGATAAACTTACTAGTTCTTTGAGCTAGACATATCTATCTCCAGGATAAAACAATAAGTAACGCCAATTGCTTGATACCCTATTTTAAATAGATTGATAACATCAACACGCAATAGCTTGAGATAACTCACAATGCGGCCAAAGGTGATTGTTGCCAAAAGAAAGTTTATTTGTAGTTATTTATTTTTTAATTTAATTGTATTTTTTGGGTCCCTCTATATTATGACCAATTTATGATTTTAGTTCCTCAATAATTATATAATAATAAACTTTCTCAAGTTTCCAATTGAAAAAAAAAATCATATTTGTATATATGACATGAAACTATTGAGTTAACATTTTAATTCAATAAAATGAGTATTTAAACATAATAATATGAAGTATTCAAATAGATTAATATTAATAATATTGCGTCTGTTAAGATATCTTATTAAATAAATATCATGTACATGTAACAAAAAATTATTAACTTTAATTGTTCAACGGATAGAATGACTTATTTTTTCAATATAAAAAATTAAAAAATTTGATTGGTACAAAAAAATTATTGGAGAGGACCAAAAGGAGAGGACCAAAACGCAATTTAGGTCTTATTTTTTTCTAAGATTGATATGGCTCTGTATTAATGATTTGATAGTCTATATATTATTTTAAAGTATTATACAATTAATCTGACAATGCATTTTTAATTTCTGTGTTTATGTGTTATGTTGTAATTGAATTAGTATATTATAAGTGTTCTAACCAGCCCATTTAATTGGTACAATATTTTTGACCTATGTTTGCCACATGGGATTCTTACACATCAATCATTGTACACCGACAATAGGTGCAAGACGTTGTCTCAGATACAAGGTCAGGTTACAGTAGCACAACTCTGTCCCTTTTATTCCTACTTTCTCTCTCCCACGTTTAGAGAGTCCAACTATTTATAAATGGGAAATACTACTCTCATTTTACATGAGGTAGTTATCTCATTTTCTCTCACATCGAAAATCGCACCAATTCTTTTTTCTTTTTCTTTTTTACTTTTTAATGGTGGACCCCACTTAAACTCTCTCTATAGCATGAGATAATCTCTCATGTAACATAAGATTAATATTCCCCTTTATAAATACCCCCTTGTCCTTTCAAGGAGCATCACTTTCACTTCACTTATATGAATTGTTACTTTATTAAAATAGAGAGCCATGGCCACTATAGCCGAATACACATCCCCCATTTTGTTTTGTAGTGCAAATGGGAAGTTCTTATAGAGTCTTAATCTCTACTAGTTCTTCTAAGAGCACCCCTAGATTAAGATACTTTACTCATAAATAAATGCATCAGTGGCTCCAACATACACAAAGATGAACAAGGATACTACAACATATTATTCAAGCATGGGTATATTGAAATTAATATTGTGTTTTCCTTCTCTTAGACCATAAGACCTTGTGATGTAATTCTGCCTACCGTCTTGCAAAACATTTTTAAGGGCAAAAGTGCCTTCCAAATTCTTGGTCTGATAACCTACTTCCCAATTTGGCAGCTGATTTGCCCAAGAAGTGTTCATTAATTGTTGTCCTTGCAATGAAACATGTATCAACCTTTAGCTTAAATAACATTACTCAATTACTCACTAAACTATATGGCTAAAGATATAATATAGAAAATCATTAATGTAAAATTCACTTGCCAAATTAAGCTTTTAGGTTATATTGGCTATATTTGATATTGAAGCGGATCACAAGTTTGATTCTCAGTATCTCGTTCTCTAATAAAAATAAAAAGTAAGTTTTCTTTTTTGAATAATGAAAAATAAATAAGTTAATATGAGTACAAGGTAAACCAAATTTTGAAAAATGAGTTTTTATATTATCCACGTTTCAAGCTCATAAGACACTCGTATAAAAATGTGTATTAAAAATAGGGATAAGATATTATGACAACCAAATAATGTTACTACCATATCTTAATCGTTGATTTCCGTCAATCAACTGTTGTCATTTATTGCGAATTAATAATGAATTAATGAGTTTGATTTGAAAAATGATAATCATTGATTTGCGGAAATCAACGGTTAAGATGTGGTAGTAACATTGGTAGTAACACTATTTGGTTGTCACAATATCCTATCCCTTAAAAATATAAGAGTAAATATCATTTCTGGTCCTCAGCAAATTTTATGATGCTCACTTTAGTCCCTAGCAAATAAAAAGGTTATTCATGGTCCCTAAGAAATTTAAAGTGAATCCATTTTAGTCCTTTTGAGGGACTAATAGGAGTATTTTTTGAATTTGTGAGGGACCACGATTTCAACTAAATGAGTCCATTTTGAATTTTTTAGAGACCACGAATAGCATTTTTATTTGCTAGGGACTAAAGCGGATATCGTGAAATTTTGCTAAAGATCAAAAAAGATATTTACTCAAAATATAATATATAAAACTAATAAAATAACCTTCCCTTGTCAAAGTAAATTTTTGCATTGAATTAATTCTTTATACACACTAGATTAACCTACCAAGCAAATAGGAATCTAGATCATTCCACCACTCATGTCGTACAGGTTCTAGTTGTGTGGTTGCATCATAAACTAGGCCATCATTTGATTGCAGATGTATTTGGATTGGTTAGGAACTTAGGATCCAGTGATTCTGTTGGCAGTGTAATTTGAAGCCTTTATTAGGACTTGAGTTCGAGTTATTCTGATTCCCTAAAAAGATGATAGACTGAATTGTGTTTGTGCAACTGATTAGTGCATATATGTAAATAAAAGATTGTGTTAGTTACAGAACATCGTGCAGAGTACAATACCTTAAAGTTTGAACTTGTTAGAAGCAACACGAGATGAGATGAAAAAAAATTTAAAAAAAAAAAAAAATTAATCCTCAAATCTTGTATACTCATTTATGTTGATCAGGGTGACCATTTAACACAAATAATATTCTAATAGCTTACAGTACTACAGTAAGTTAATATGTTGCAATTTAGCTTTCTGACTAAAACAAATTAATACCTTCATTTTGCTCAATTGTTTGCATGGATTTCTACTATACTTTCAGTTGAATTGATGGACTTCCCTTCCCCAAAACCTATGAGGAACTTGAATGATTAATTTGAGGTGTTCATTTTGTTTAATTTATAAATACCAGAGTGCGAAAACTTTGTTACACAAGAATATTCGCCGGAATATATAGTTAAATGGGATTTTGCTTACAAGTGTCATATAAGTCACTTGCTGAAAAGAAGTATAAATAACATTAGTTTTTTTTTTTTCTGTGTTTCTAATATATCAAATATTTTACCCTTTCAGAAAAAGACTCTACATAGATTCACCAAGTGCTTATATACACAGTTTCCACACAGAAAAAACTGAATTTCATGACTTTGTATATAGCCAGAACAGCACCCTCTAATAAGAAACAAAAAATTCTGCATTTTTTTTTTTTTGCTTAGGTAAAAATCTTATACCAGAAAAAATCCTGAGAACTCAAAAGCTTCAAATAATTACATAAAAAAAGTTTCATATCAGGAAAACCTCACTCCTTTCACTTGCTGAGGAGAGGAAACCAACGTTCTTGAAAGGAAGATTGGTAAGAAACCATGAACAACACAACAACGAGAATAAACCCAACTCCCCAAGGAGTTCCACCAGCTCTATGCAGTGACTCTTTCTCTGGCAAACGAATCAGTGAAGACAAAACCCCTTGACCACCATAGTTGGAAAGAAAGTGAACAGCTAGCAGAAGAAGCAGTGGAGAAATTATTAGAACCAATTTCATTTGGTCCATGAAGCTCTCCATCATTGGCTCATAGTTTGAGTACAATGAAAACCCAAGCAATATGAAAAAGGTAAGAAGGAATAAACATAGGTGCAAAGGGGGAGAAGCCAGAGAGTTCTGAGCAGAGTTGTTGGCCATTTTCTTTGCTTTGGATCAATTGAAACAATTATGAGACTGAAACTTTATTTGTTGTAGAAAATTGGGCAGCAAAGATGGTTTTATATAGAGGTAATAAAGTTCTAAGTTTGCTAACTATTGTTGAATATGGTAAAGTCTTAAGCTTTTAATTTTCTTTATTTCTTTTGACTTTATTTGGTTTGTTAATAGCCAAAGGTTCCCGCTTTCTCAAAACCCAATACTGGCTTTTGCAGAAATAATGTAAGGGTCGGTGAGTTTTTAATGGTAGAGGTTCATTGATAACAAATTAACAAATGAGAAGCTGACACGTACCACCGACCACGGACCAATGCTGATATGTTTTTCGTTTGGAGCTTGTCATTTAACATCACACAACAAACTTTCCTACACACACAACATTTTGTAGAACTCATGCTTTTTGAAGAAAAAAAAATTACGGCACGCAAAACGAATCTCTATAACATTACACAATCAATTTTCCTACAACATAACTCTTATAAAACCCTTTTCTTTTATGCTTTTTATAGGAAATTATTTTTTTTATGGGAAAAGTGCGACTCAGACTAGATTTCAGCAGCTAAATATACATAACATAATTGATGCTCAAATCTCTGTGAATTTTCTGTATTTCTGTCGTTAACTTCATGATAAAGATGGTTATAAATTTAAGGCTTGTTGTTGACGACACATAAATTTGGTCAATTAAATTTCGTAGTTTCAGAATATAAAATTAGAATTACCTATTCAAGGAAACAAAATGTTTTAATATTAACCGAATTAAGTACCTATTCAATCTAAACTGGAAAACAAATAATGAAAATAAATATAGAATAAACCAAACTTAAACTAAGAAGCAAATACTAAGAATAAATTTAAAATAAATTAGAATTATCACGTGAGGTATGAATGAATGCAGAATAAATCAGTATTATCACGTGGAAAATTACATATGATTGACAACATTTTCCTTCAAATTAGGTTTTGGGTAACACTTCCGTAACTTGATAACCGGTGTAAATTTAATTCAATTCAAACATTTCAGTTAATCCTCTTAATAAAGTGTTTGATTTGGATCAAATTTTAGCGGCTTTTAATGCATAGATAATGGTATCATAATTCATGTTTAAATTTATGGATGTAATTTTATATTTTTTAGATATCAACTAATTTTCCATTTGTACCTTTCCACCCTTCTTAGGAATTGAAACTCACATGAACTGAACCCACCTTAATTAAGAGGTCAAATTTTAAGATTTAATTGGGCCGTCACAAGACCAATGACTCTAAATATATGAAGATTCTTAGTAGCCCATATCAATAGTCATGGTTGAACGAACATGCTTAATCAAATAAATGTATAATTGAGAGTGTTTTTTTTTTTTTTTTTGATAACATAATTGAGAGTGTTTTCAACAATTGGAAAATGACCGTGTAATTTGTCATGAGTATCACTGGCAATTGCACTTTGATAAATTTTTCCTTTGATTCAGTTAACTGCAATCAATTTGTTGGATTTTTTTTTTTTTTAAGGAGTTGAGAGTTGTTATGAGCAATACCCTTTTGTAACTTACTATATTAATTTCATGACCAGGTAAAGGAATAAGAATTATCACTTTTATTCTGTCCTAGGGACGGAGATATCCAGCCCAATAGGCTGGTATGTTGATCTTGGATCTAGTGCCCTCTCCAAGGTATCTATAGAGGAGATACCCTTGAGTCAAGCAGATCACTGTGCACAATAGATTGTTAACGGCGTTAGCCAAAGGGGGTGTGTGTGCGCGCGCACAGTGACAGCATAACAGTAAGAGAGAGTGTAGCGTACCTTTAGGGTTTACCTTGTATTTATAGAAGTTACTTGTGGTTAGTATTCTATGGGCCTTTGGTGCCTCTGATAGGGGCCCAAGCCTGGTTGCTATGTTGTCGTATTAGGATTAGTATCCTTAATGGATACTATTCGTAATTACAATTGATTCGGATCTTGGATTGCCCCTTATTGGGCCTGCAATTTAATGGGCCCCTTATACGGGTCCATAACAGTTGTCCCTCAGTCAGGCTACCTGAGTGTCCGAGTTGCCGGGGTGAATTTCCTCGCGTGTTGCTTCAGGTTTTTTGCTAAGTTGAGAGCATTTGAGTTTTTGTAAATTTTCCGCCTACGTGTTCCTCGATCTGAGTATTTTTCAACTAGGGTCCTCGTTGCCCCTTATCTCGGCGGGTTGAGCATGAACCCAGGAAAACATTTCACGCATTCCTATATCGAGTTTGGGATGTGCTTGAGTAGTTGGGATCCAACTGGCGAGCTGCCCCCAAGCATCATACCTTACGCATACGTCTTGAGTTTGTAGCTTTCGTTTTGGAATCAGAATTGATTTTCCATAGTTAGTCATATAATCGGGTTATGCATGAACCTGGCAAGACACTCTGCATGTACAACCGGGTAACGAATGTGCTTGAGCAATTGGAATCCAACTGGCGAGTTTCCCCCAAGCACCATTCATATGATCCGGTTTAAGAGTTGGATCTATGTTAATCTCACGTGCCAACTTATTAGCTGCACTCATTTCATTTTGACACATGCTGCCTGCCGCGTGTGTTAGCGTGCTGCAGCCATTTTATGCCATTTTCGCGTTTCGTGTGCATTTATTAGCAGTGTCGTTTCAAGCGTCTAATCATTGTTTTTTAAGTGCAATGACGCTAGTGCCCCTGACTCTTGCCATCCATGACTGTTGCGGTTATTACCCATGTGTGAGAAGACACTGGTACCTCTTATCCATGCCATCCTCGATTGTTGCAGTTACACCTGCTCCTATATAAGTAAGCATCCTTCTTTTCTTTCGTTTTTTACCTTGCTTGTCTTGGAGAAGTTCCTTGCCTTAATTCCTCTAAGCGTTAGCATCCGCAAGTGCTTTTTTTCATATTCTGGGATTTCACCTTCTTTACCTTCAGATATTTACCATTTCCCTACGCACCTGCCTCGTCTTTTTTTCTGCATTACTTGTATTTGGCTGTCAGCATTTTAGACGTTTGTCATTTTATTGTGAGTTCGTTTTTCTTCGAACCTCATTCTGGCAATTAGTTTGCTCGACAGTTTTCCTCCTTTCTGTTCCCACCCCAAATATATTCAAAGTGCTGCATATTGCTTCACTTCTGTGATTTTGGTGTGTATCTTTTAACACGATGAGGGGGGAAAACCCTCCCTCTTCAGCTCTGCATTGTGAGGGGCCGAAAGAGGAAGATTCTGGCTTTTTGAGAAAGTTCCCCCTGGTGTTCGTTTCTGGTTTTGGGGAATTCCCAGGACTGAAGAGGAAGAACGCGAGGCCATGCTTTGTGGTTATCGCGGTGGCAGATCCTAGAGGAAACCCAGGCTGTCAGATAGAGGATTAGGGCAGAGCCGGGGTAGAGGTTCGTCCAGCAGGGGTAGGAGTCGTCTATCTGTGAGCCGACGTACTCCCTTTCATTTTCCCCAAACCAGTTCTAAGCCCTCCAGTGATTTTCTTATAACACATCCGGGTTCTTTACCAGTTATCCGGGATTTTCGTCAGTCTCCCCCTCTTCAAAGGAGTGTTCCTTGCTATTCTTGTGTTTACCTGAGTTCCAAGCTTATCGAGCAAGGTTGTGACTCCCTGGCAGAGTCTACTTTGGGTAGCTGCCGACATGGAGATGTTTCGGGATCTACCTCCGCATCTGGTGGGGCAGATGACTCAATCATCATCTCCGAAATGCCGATTTCTTCATCCTCTAGTGATTCATCTTCTGATAGTGTTTTTGATTCAGGTATGTCCATTCTCTTCTTCTGATCGAGTTCTTTTCTTTGTTTTAGGTTTTGATGGCATCTTCTCCTCCAGAAGTAATTGAAAAGTCGGGTTCTACTGAATCATACCCTCCATGTCCCCTCACCTCTTTAGTATCCCAGTTTCCTTGGGTGACTTATGAGGTTTTAAATACTGCTTCCGAGATGGGTCCGGAAGATGTGGCAGGTCTCCCTGTTGGGAAGTTGGAGAGTTTTGATATAGCCCCCCCACAGGAGGACGAACCAGTTTGCTCTAGTGGGAGTTCTGAAGAGCCTCCTTTATTTTTCTTTTACCGGGATGTCATAACTCAGTTTGGCATTCGGTCTCCTTTGACCGAGTTTCAAATTGATCTTTTAAACCACCTTCAGATAGCTCCCACCTAACTTCACCTCAATGGTTAGGGTTTCATTAAGGCTTTTGAGCATTTTTGCACATACCTTACTCTTCCTTCCTCTGTTTGTGTTTTCTTTTTCTTTTTTCAAATTCTTACTCCACGAATTGGTCGTGAACCCACAAAACGAAAAGGCTGGGTTACCATTCGAGGTATCCCTGGCTACAAACTCTTCCGAGTTTATATCGACTCTTTCAATAATTTTAAAGACAAATTATTTAAAGTCTATGCTCATCTGGGTAAGAAAGGATGTATGGTTCCTTGATAATTGTGGTACCAAGAATGTAGAGGGAAAATTTCCCCTGCATTGGTCATATGACCATTATCAACTCCCTCCTTCAAGCTACCGTTTCAAAGAGAATGAGTTAAGCCCTTCGGATGTCGACAGTGCTATTGCCATTGGTACATATCTTCAATCGCATAAGCATGCTAGTGTCACATCCCTTTATTTCAAGTCCCTGGAGGATCTTGATGTTGAACTAAGTATGGATCACTTTCCCCAATTGCATATATACCTACTTGTTATATTGCATTTGATGACTTTGTTTTACTGTTTCTACTTTGCAGTTCCTAGCATAGAAAACCAACAAAATGAGCCCCGAAGCAGGCTGGCGGCTTTGACTCAGTCAAAGGCAACTTCTGCCGAGTTATCAAAGAAAAGGAAAGCGTCCGAGATCTCAAAGGCTATCCCGGGAAAACCAAAAGGCATGTCGGCTGATAAAAGTCATGTCTCTGCTAGCAATGCCAAGAATAAGGTGGGCGCTGCTGATGTCAGTGCCTCTGATTCCTTGCAACAAGTAATGAAGGCTCCTCCTCGTCCTCCATCTCCTGAGCTGGTAAAACACATGGTGTGGCAAGGCG